TAGAAGCAAGGATGGTGAGGCTTCATCTCACATACTTTGGACATGTCATCAGGAGGGACCAGTCGCTGGAAGAGGACATCATGCTTGGTAAAGCAAAGGGTCAGCTAAAAAGAGGGGGACCCTGAGTGAAACAAATGGACACAGTGGTTACAACTGTGGGCTCAAACATACCGATTGCAAGGATGCCGCAGAACTGGGTAGTGTTTCATTCTGTTAGTTAAGGTCACTATGAGTCGGCGCCAACTCAACAGCAACTAACCACAGCAACACTATGTGTCAGGCACTGTGGCACAATCTTTACGCCCTTTATTTCTCAGAACACCTTGCAAAGTAGGTAATATTAAGCACATATTACAGAAGTACAAATTTAAGTTCAGTGAAGTCAAATATCTCAAAAATACAGATTCAAACCTAAATCCACCTCTTTCCGAAACCACTGCACCACCCAGTCAATTCTGAAATGGCGTTTCAGACCATACCTTTCCAAAACTTTTATCCTCCCTTCTTCTATGATGAGAAGTTTTAAGCCAAAGCCAAATTTCAGCTCAGCCAAATTACTGTTCTTCCTGACTCGCAGTTAAGCAACTCTTTCCTGCCCAGTTTTTTCACAGCAGCTTTCAGTGATGGGGCTTAGTGAGCAGGAGGGCTATCAGTGATGCATGGGCTTTCTGTGGAGCCCGGTGGCAGGATGAAAGGAGCACTTGGTTATTTTCAGTGCCAAACAAGTTGCTAGAGAGGGCAAAGTACCTATTAGGCTTAAAAATTATTTCCAAAATTATCTAAATAATAGATGGAATCCTTTGTAAAGGATCTAAAACACTAAGAACTAGAACAAAATATGAAAATTCATGACTTCTGCCTATTCTTTTATATCAGGAAAATTTCATTATTTGAATCTAACATGATAGCTTGAGCTGCAAATAAAGAAAACCAATAATAATACATAGTCCTCAGTGCTATTCATTCTGTTTTTGACCAGATGCCCCCTAATCCTTGTGATTCCACACTTTTAAATCTACCCTGAAATAACATTTATCCTTTTCAAAGCCCCCAACCATAAATCAGCTATAATGGAAGCTCTTCTCCTTGGTTTTATTGCAAGGATATATGCTCCAACCTTCATGTCTAAAGTGTTTACCTGGCTTTTTCACAGCTGACTCAGTGGATTAGAACCTTTTAATGCAACCTGCATGGCATGTGGTCACCAAACCTATGTGAAGTCTTTATAATTTTTGTGTGATTGATAGCATATTGCTCTTCATGGTGAGAGGAATCTTATCTATTTCCTGCTTGCTTCCTTTTGTAGATGTTAAGTTACTTAATCTGTTTACCTTCATGATTGGGACTTCAAAGGTATAGATGTGAAGGAGAAAAGCAATTAGGCTCAAAAAGTCTGTGTCTGACTTCTGGGCCTATGTGGTTTCCCCTATACTCTGCTACCTCCAGGATTAGAAAACCAAAGCTCCCTTTTCTACAAAGTAACCCGGTTATCTTGCACCTTGAATACCATAACTTTAGGGAAAAAGAAGGCTCTTTTCTTAATAGCCTCCTAGCTCCACAGTTTTCTAAAACTATTGTCCGTGCTACCCTTTTAGACCTTCATTCAACCCCTTATGATAGTGCATAAGCTACCATTATTCTCTTTTAAATGCATCTATCTGTATTTCAAAACCTGTTCCCAAAACCTCCATCTCTCTATTTACCATGACATTTCTTTCTGAAGTGATATATGTGAGAGAGTTTCAAACTCTGGTCTTATATCAATGTTGGGTATTACTGCTAAACACAACTTTGCCTACCCATTCTTTAATTAATACAGCTAATATTTTACCTCTAATCTGTGACAGGCACCTATCTGCCTCAGAGACGAATAAAGTGAATAAGAAACTTTATTCCTTACCAAAAAAAAAAAAAAAAAACTACTGCCATCAACTTGATTCTGACTCATAGCGACCCTATAAGACAGAGTAGAACTGCCTCATAGGGTTTCCAAGGCTGTAATCTTTCTGGAAGCAGACTGCCACATCTTTTCTCCCACAGAGCAGCTGGTGGATGTGAACTGCCGACCTTTGGTTGTCAGCTGAGAGCTTTAACCACTGCGCCACCATTTATTCCTTAGGAAGTGTAATCTACTGTTTCCCAGACCTACTTTCCCAGTCTACTTCTTCCCCTCTTCTGTGTCTACCATATTCACCATTTTTGTTTCTCTTACTAATCATGAACTGCCAGGGATCATGTCCAAATGTTACCATTAGTTAGAAAAATCTGGGTAGTGTCATGCTGTGAATCAAAATCGTAGACCTTGGGTAAACTACTTAATCTCTGAGCTTCAGTTTTCTCATCTGAAAAATTTAAATGGCAATACTTAACTATACAAAATAATTAGAAGTAAATGAGATGATGATTTTAAGTGTACGAAGGAGATACTCAACACATGGTTGCTCTGTCATGTTACTTAATTGCTCAAAAAACCTACAAGTAACACCTGTATTACCTTCCAAGTTAAACGTAAATATGTCAGCCCACTATTGGATGCCCTCAGTAAAACCCCAACCTCCTGTGTATGACGTGTGCACTTTCACTGAAAACAAAAGTCCTACTCTGCAAACACCTCCTTTTTTCACCACTGAGGGCAGACCAATAGTAACCACTGTCTTTTGAGTGCCAGTCATGTTTAAGAGGGGACTTGATGCTTACATATAGTTTTGCTTAATATCTAATTTTAATGTAGTGGTTAAGAGTACAGATCCAGAGTCCGAATCCTTGTTTATTTTCAGACCACGGCTCCACAATCTTCTAGTCATGTGACACAGGACAAGTCACTTAATCTCTGTAAGCCTCAGTGTCCTCGTCTGTAAAATGGAGAAAATACTACTAACCATTACAGTGCAGGTGTGGGGATTAAATATAATCAGCAATGTAAAGCACTTAGTACAGTAACTAACGCTCAATAAATATCAGCTATTTTTGTTACTGATGTACTTTGTTTTCTTCTTGTATAACTGTGGAAGGTATTTTATAAATGGTGAGAAAGATTAAGTGGTTGTTGCAAAGTAACAACACAGCAAGTAATTGAAAGAGATGGAGTTTGGGACCAGAGCTTTCTGGCTTTAAAGTCCATGCTTTTCCCACAACAGTGTGTTGCCTCCTGCTAATCTCTGTCTGAAAAACATCCTTCCTTATACCTAACTGGAATGACCTTTCAGTTGGGCCTATCTAGGTACTACCTCCTTCACCAAACTTTCCTTGATCCCCATCCGAGTGTGACCTCTCCCTCAAAATCCTCATAGCAATGTATCACTCGTTTTTGCACAGCATTGTGCTAAAGTGGCTTGTATACTAAATCGTGAGCTCTTTGACACCAGGGTGGTGGTTGGGTCCCTGCCTCCCCTGATGCAGAGGACTTTGTACCAAGTAGATAATAAAGTCACTTGAATTGAATAGAGGGTTGTTGTGAAGACCTTTAAGTCACAGCGTGGAAAATTCTGTTCAGTACAATCCAGGAATGATTTACTTACTAACATGTCTCTGTGCCGGGCCCCATGGTAGACACTGGGTTTAAGGAAATAAACAAGGCAAAATCCCTGCCCTCAAGGAACTTACAATTTGGTAAAAGTGCTTTGAAACCAGAAACTGATTTTGCCTTAATTAATGGAGGCATAATAATTAATAGATGAAGCAAACACTTGAGCAGTGCAAATTAATTCTCATTTATTGTTTGTGCAGATACAGTTGTCTCCTCCAGCTGCTGTACCAGTTTAGACTACATCGTCACCTACCTCTTCAAGCACATAGCAAAAGAGGGCAAGAAGCCACTTCGATGCAGAGAGGCTACCCAGGCCGGTCAGAGACTATTACACTTGATGCAGCAAAATCCAGATGTCCTGCAGCAGGTAACTGGTGGTTGGTCACCTGGCTTAAGAAACGTAATTTCCCAGAAGCCAACCTGGTCCCTGAATATCTCTTAGAGCAACCAATTTTCCCAAGACTTTTTACCAGTTATTCTCAAGGAATGTTGTCCCTGAAAGTGGGGTGGTGTACTAGCCTCAGGTTTATCCCACCCTCAAGAAATCCCTCGGTGGTTCATCTCATCTCAGCGAAGCTCGAATTCAGAAAGAGGATAGCTCTTTCAGAGACCTCAGAGAAATATAGGGCCAAGCTGCAGCTAGAAACAGCTGACCTCTGACTTCTTTCCTAGAGCCTCTGATAATGTCATCACAAGTTTGCCTTGTGAGTACTTTGGTGTGTTGGGAAATTACCTTTTGCTGGGCTCCTAGTCTGTGCAAGGCACCTTACTAGCAACTGTCCGTTCATCGGCTCATAGTTGGTATTTTTCCCATTTTAAGAGGAGAAATAAAGGTTCAGATAGGTTAGTGTTCCTAAGAGCATTTAATAAGAAACAAAATCACAATTTTTTTCTTCATTTTCAAATATGTTTTCTAACTGGCTAAAATGGGCTAGATCCAAGTTTAACACTGGGAAGAAAAATAGTATTTCTACAAATCATAATAACAGCATGCATTAAAAAAATGAATATACACGTAGGAAATATTTAAAGATAATACCGGATTTCCATGAAGTACCATCACTATGATGTTTTTTAATTCCACTAAATTTGTAAGATGAGATTTTCACACTATTTTCAGTTGTTTTATTTTTGCCAAATCATATCTACAAATGTAAACACTTCAACGGTGTCTCACTACATGATCATTAGCCAACAAATAAGTCACCAGCAATCAGCAGGAAGATGTCACTCTGGGTAGAGAAATGATAAAAATAGTATGAGATAGCCATGTCATTTCTTGGTAATATTTAAATGATTTGCTTATAGTGATGTTTCAGTTACCCAGTTTTTCTGTGGAAGTGGAGACAATTAAGATGTTGTATAACTAGACAAAGGACTGTAGGTCCCTAACTATTTGGTATGACCCTGGAACTGTTATGACATGTTGGTAATACTGTAAAGGAAGAGGAAGGTAACTGACATTTATTGAGGCCTCACTATGTGCAAGGTGCAAGAACCATTAAGACTCATAAGACATAATCTATCGAAAAGCTTCCTTTCAGGTAACAGAGAGAAACAAGTAACTAAATAGTTATGTGATAATTTGATTAATATAGTGATGACACAGTGAGTGACACAGGAGGAAGGGGACTGTGAGAAGAGTCTTCTCATTTAGGTCCCACCAAAAAAAAAAACCATTTCCATTGAGTCAATTCTGGCTCATAGTGACCCTCTAGGACAGAGTAGAATTGCCCCACAGGGTTTCCAAGGAGCGGGTGGTGAGTTCAAACTGCTGATCTTTTGGTTAGCAGCCAAACGCTTAACCACTGTGCCACCAGAGCTGCTTAGGTCCCACAACAACCCTGAAATGTGAATATCATCATCCTTATTTTACAGATGAATAAATTGAGGTATGGAGAGATGAACTGGAAAGTGCTGGGGTTGGGATTTGAACCAGGGTCTGTCTGGCTCAAAAGCCTAAGCCCTTACTACTTGCGCTGTTGATTCTCAAGGAAATAGTTTCTGGGGCTAACATCTCAGATTCACCTGGAAGACCTCTTCAAAATACACGTGCTATCAAGATTTGGGTGCACCCTTCCTCTCCTCTCTCTTACGGTGCCCCCTGCAGTAGCCACTGGTAATGTTGGGAGTATGTCATAGCCCTCAAGTGTTTTGGCAGGGAGAACAACTGACATAAGGCATGTAGCCACTGGAGAAAATAAATACCCGTAGATTGGCCAGGTGTCAGACACAGCCCCCACCCACCATGGCAAGCAACAAGTCCACACCAAATCATGCCTGCAAGCCCTCTCAGCCATAATCACAGTATTGTCCATAAACTTTGGCAGAAACTTTTAAGTTGGTAGAAAATTTTAGCAGAAATCAATAGACCATGGTCCTAGACAAAATACCATCAGACTGTGCAGAGCAAGTAATGTGGTTGTACAGGAGATAATCAGGTTTGTCTTTACGCAGAATTACCATGCATTTGTTAGTTTAAGTAATTTCTGTGTGTTAATAATACTTGGTAATCCTTCACTTTATAGCATATGACTAAGTAGTGATATATCTTTATTAACAGTAGAATACATTCTATTTATTTGGAATGTAGGCTTTCAGATAGCATTTTAAATATTAATGACTGGTCTCTGGTAGTCAGCATAAATATGATTTACATTAGCACTAGGTTATATCATTTTGAGTGCCTCTGATGTCAACCATTGGGTATAGTAATATCTGACATCATCTCCTTAGGTCACTGACAATTTTGACCTCTATTCTTATGCACAGTTTCTATCGTCTCAAAAGCTCTTTTGAATTGATTTGAAATTTTGACTCTTCCCTTTATGAGGCAGTAAAATTGATAATTATTCAGATGGGAACTGAGCGCTGAGTGAAAAATCAATTCCACCCGCTCTCTGCTGCGTATAAAATTACTTCTGAGTTGGCTGGACTGAACGGATGGCCAGAATAAAAGCAGCAGGCAGGAGTAGTGGGAAGAATTAGCTGGACAGAGCTAATAGCCTGAAGGGATGGACTTGGAAAAGAGGGAGTGGGCCAGTTGGGGGTTATTATGAGCAGGGATGGGTCCCATTGATCATCTGTTTACATCAGCTTTCCAAGACCTTATAAATCAGCCCTGAAGAGCAGCAGAACCCAAGATTCATCCTCTTACCAGAGGGACTCTGTATTAGATTATTCTCATTTTCACACTCAGATGAAAAGTAAGCCATTGATTATTCATTGGTTGCCCATTAAAGGCTGTTTTTATAGATGATTTGCCTATCACAGAAGGTAATGAACAAGGTTGCTGCTTCATAACTCGAGGTTTCAATTTTCAAGGCATCTGTGTCGGTTAAGTAATGCCTAACCCTATTAAAAGGAATGGGTTACAAATTGCTTAACAGTGCTGAAAAACTAGACCCTAATGACTAATTGTGCTTGGAGTTTAGAGAGGGTTTGTCAGCTCTTTAAACTAAACTGATGCAATGATACTGCAATTATTTACTAGTTTGAGCTGTTTTTTTCCCCTAGCCTGAACCTATTTTTTGGAAGCCTAATTCCATGAAGAGAGTGTCCATTCCAAATTGCAGAAGTTATCTCCCCAAGTTTCCATAGTGAATCAACCGTGAACCTATGTAAAGAGTTTTTGTACATTCGTATAGGCCTGTGCATTTGTAGGCAGCAGCCTGGGAAAAGACATTTTAAGTGCCTCTCACCTGGAAATATGTTTATTATGACCTGCTATGCGGCTTTACTTCTTCAGTGTTTTTAAAAACATTCTCCACATAAGCCATTTTCCATATTTTGCAAACAAATCTGAGTTGGCAAGCCTTAAAATTTGGTCCATTTGAAGACCCATTGTAATTAACAATGTATGTCAAGTAAGAATCATTGTCTCAGCAGCATTGCTTAAAACCCAGTTATGTTAATCAAGGGCAAAAATTCCCCAAGTGTTTTCATGTCGTTATGAGGATAAGCTAAAAGTTTAAGAACAGACCAGCAGTAACAGTGATTAGGCACTGACCTGTTACAGTAATTTCAAACATAACATTTCCATGAAATTTTTTCAGTTTCATCATTGGTCATGGTGTTTGCATCTATAACCCTTAGATTAGCATTCATTTAGTTCTGTCACAGAGTGAAAGATTTGCCCAAATTGGCTAAATTAAGGAGCATGTTTTAGAGAACTGGAGGTGCATTTCAGAGATGTGACTAATTCTTTTTGAGATTATAAGGACGCTGATGCTGAATGCTGCTTTGATCAGAATTTCACCTGAAATGAATTGCTCTAGAAAGAGTAGCACCTTCCACAGAAGTAGAACAAGAATTATGTGTTTGTCAGCATTACTGATTAGATTATGCAGTGAACTTATTAATAAGATATTTTTAGCAATTATAGTCTCTAAAATCTAAATACATGGAATGGAGGAATTAGAGCATTTAGGTTTGAATTTATCTCACCCTTCAGCTATTTATCTGCTTAGCTCAAGCCAGGTATACTAAAAACCCAAATAATTATCATTCTTTCTTTTTTTTTTTTGGCTAACATGGCATTTAACTACAAATTGTGAAGAGCTGTCAGGAGCTATAAGAATCATACTTCAGAAGGGACATAAGCTGAAAGAACATTCACCCTTTTCCTCAATCAGTCAGTCAATCAATGAAAATTGCTTTTGTATAGTGCTCTTCATGACATGCATCCCAAAGTGAGTTACAGCAGAAGGGAAATCATCTGCTCTTTTTTCATTTCTGTGTTTAGATTGGAACAATATTGCTCAACATTTTGACATACTATACAAGACATCTTTCATACTTAAGATTCCATTCCATAATACTAAGTAGGAGAAAGTGCAGTCGCATATTTAACTGATAGTGAGACTTCGGCCTGTAGAACCGCAGCAAGACACTCACAGTGGAAAACACTTAAGCAGATGAAATATATTCACATCTCGTATCCTCTTTAAAAAGAATAAATAAATAGCCAAACTTGCTAATGCTAATAATAAAGACGTTTATAGTGATCGTTAAATAGAAACTATGCCCTCCATATAATGCATTAGCTCACTCTGGTTGATTTGCAACTTTATTATCAAAAATATGACAGTAGATTGATACCAAAAACACAAGCTGAAAGAACATTCACAACTGGATCAGAAGATGATGTGGATTTAAAGGGTAGAAGCCAGGGATATGTCATTAGGCACTTAAAGTGAAAAATTTTCATGACAAAATTTTTTTTTTCACATGCGGCTGCAACCTTGGTCTTCTTCACAGCAAACTATGCGTGTGCAATACATACATATATATACAGGCACCCTGGTGGCACAGTGGTTAAGAGCTCGGCTGCTAACCAATAGTTCAGCAGTTGGAATCCACCAGCTA